ATTGTCGAGATTTTACGCTTCACTTCCACAACCTGAATACGAGCCTCGCCGATGATCATCTTAAGTAGTTCACTTTAGGTACTTTCTCGGGAAATTGACTCACCGGGTGATTCATCTAAACACATCTTCACATTATTTTACTGAAAATTATGGCAATTCTAATCGCAATCAATTAAAAGTCAAATTTGCCCACAAGTTTAAATTAATGTACATTAGGTTATTTCTCATCTCAGCCTTTCTTCTACCAGGTCTTTAAAAATGCATTCTCCAGATGAGCCAAACAATCTTAGCATCGCTGAGCCGCACGGCGAGTACGACTTATTAGAGTGGCCTGTGTCATCAAAGTCATCTTTGTGATTATGGGTCTTTGTGCCTGCCTCAGCCAGTTCGAATCCCATTGATGAGGGCTGATGTAACCGAGTGGATTCTGGCCCATATTGAAGCCCGGCAAGACGTGGTCCTACAGCATGAAGTTTTTATGACTTTATATTGGCAAGACATGCTGTCGGTCCCTGTACACCGTACGAAAATGGCGCATCCTTTAGCCTATATCAAAAAGTATGACACTGAAGTCCTATCTTCTGGGGATATGAACGGCAGACGCAAACTACTCCCTCAACGAGGACATTTAGCCATTCCCAGGCAACATAATTTTCATCCTTCCTTACTCCATCTGGACATTGTAAACTTAGCCGGCATCGTAGTAAACGGCACTTTTGGACCAGTTTGTAACACAAACGGTGACATGTCGTTTAGACAAAAAAGATTCGTTAATACTGTATGAATGTCGTTATTCATGCTTTTATTTGTATTTGGGAAAACTCATTTTGATATTGTGAATTGACGAAGCCCTCCTCAAATTCCGCCCAGTCTTATACGTTTGCTAATATGTAACAGAAGAGGAACTGCAGCACATTGATCTGCATGTTGAAAGCGATATAGGCAGGGGATGGATGCATCACTTATGCCTTTTGCTATGAAGCTTTACTAGATGGCCGGCAAGATTATGCCAGCCTATTGGTGACAGGAATGGTAGGATGTGCATATAATTGGATGTTTTATTTGCTTTAGCTGGACATGCTTGCTTAGGCTGATATGCCGAGCCGTGAGGACTTTATGGCGACAGAACAATTGCAGGTATGGCTCCACGGCGTGGAAGCCGGTGGCGTTTTGGGTCTTGGACCTGGGGTCTGGAATAAGCGGGAAATGGAGACAAGGAGGGAAAAGAATGCGACCAAAGAAGAGGATGATGCGAGGGTGAGGAGAGCGGAGCGGATTGAAGAGGTGCTGGCTCGAGTTCGTCGCATGACCGCATTTGACGTATACCTCAACCGAGTAGCGCAAATCATCAGCAGTCCAGGCGGCGGTGGCGGAGCGGGTGGGCTGAGCTTC